TTGCATATTTCTAACACAAGTAAATTCCTACAATGCAACCGGCCACACGTTTTTTCCAAGATTTTTGAGAGTAAGAACTCTGTAAGCAAATGCTATCATTGAACCACACAGAAATATTCAGATGGAATCTCAGTCTTAATGAAATCCTTACACTTGGTACCCACTGATGCCACAGAGCAGGCAGAACTCCCCATGTACTCTGGTAGCGACGGTGTGTATCAACAGCTGACTTCCCAACACCTGGTTAATCCAACTCTGGGTTTCTAAGCAACCAATCGATGTTGGGGGAAAAAACAAAATCCAATTTAGAAGGATATGAGTACCATGTACCCTTAATGCACACTGATCTTAAGATTGGTTTACGCTCGAAGAAAAATAAAAATCAGAAGAAAAGAACAACTCTGCCTTACATTGCCAACTGTGCTATGTAAAAAAAAAAAAAAAAAAATCCCTGAAGTTTTACTAGGAACTGTTATAAGCATAACACAAAGAGACACGCATGTTTCAGCCTGGGTACCAATCTCTAATAGACCTAAAAAAATTAACAACTACGAAAAAGTAACTGTATATCAAATACTCCCTGAGGGTCAAGCAAATCTTTCACTCGCGTATCCTTATCAAGAAGTACACTTAGGTGATGAGGCAGTAACAAACTCAATTTTCCAAAAGCCATTTAGAGCGTGATTTAGAGACGCACGTCCTGTTCCACAGCAGCAGAGCTGCCACTGCTGTACCTTTCCGGGCAGCATACCCCAGGCTGCTCTGCCCTGTGTCTACGCTGAAGGCACAACGATACCCAGTTTGGGCACACCCTACAGTGACTCACCTACACAGGCTCCGGGTACAGGAGTAATTCAGATCAGGAGCCGGATCCTGGATTTTGCAACACACTTTACCTGGTAGAAGCACAACCTGCACTGCCTGTATTCAGTTCTTCTTGCTCTCTTTTCAACCACTCCTTGCATCCCCCTCCTCTTCACCCCAGGAAGGAATTTCTGAAGTAAGAGAAACGTTGCCTACACGTGCCTCGAAAACTCTGACGGTATCTACCGCTTTTGTACGTTTCATTTCAAAAAAAGTACTGACTTTTTGCCTCTTCCAAAGAAAAAATATTCTCAAGATACGAAGACACAACAGCACATCCATTGCATAAACTGTTTTGTCAAGTATTGTGTGTGCTAAGATTTGAAATTAACAAAATGCTTTTACCCCCCATTGACAGAGCTTGCCTGCCCAAGTTAAAAATCGATGGCAGCTGTACTCCCCCCCCTTTGGAGACTTCTAGTAGCAACTGAGATGCTCTTGCTTAGAGGCACAAGCACCTCAACTGCTATTTCAGTTGCTTGCAATTTGTGGGACTCAGTTTTGTACCAGTATTTTCACTTTCATACCCTGTAGTACTTGCAATTTTTTTTTTTTTTTTTTTTTTTTTTTTTTGCTGGTCAGGGAACAAATCTATTTCAAAGAACGTATAGAAAGCTGTAAGTAGTGACAAAACCTGACTCCTCCTCCAAATGTTAAAGTGTACTGGGGATAAACAGAAACAACAGTAATGTTTTGACATCTGTTTGTTTTCCTCAGCTAACAATTCCACAGTCTGTTAAAAAGGTGGGTATTATCCATTCCATTTACAGGCTAAAAAAAAATGCGGCGGGGAGGGAACGAAACAGCTGTGAGACCCAAGGCTGTACAAAGGGGCTAGCAGAAAAACCTGTGTTGTTTCTAAGCAAGCAGGTGTACTTCTTACGCCAACGTTTGCTTCTAAAACTTTGCTAATAAGATTGGTGCTTTGAATTTTTGGAAGCTGAACCTGTACTGTAAGATTTAAGCTAATCACGCCTTCCACAATGCAATCCTCCCATTTATTACCAAGGCCTAACTATCCCGAACACAGCCACACATTAGCCACTAAGCTAGCTAGCGCTTTGTAGACCGGCTGCTGCTTATTGCACTACCCCCTCTAAGCTCAAGCACGGACCCGAGTTTAAGCCCCACTACCCGGGCAGAAACCAGGGCGTTAAGCCTAGGCCTCCCGTACACCTGCAAACGCTCCCTACCGCCAGTCGCATCACCCCTGCCACCACACCCCCCTCCCCGGGGCCCGGGGCAGGGAGAGGC